TGCACGTGTGCTGGGCGTGAAACAAGCGTTTCGCACATTTGTAAGTTGCATTCAAGAATGGTTCTCTTACTCGTAAGTTTGTCCTTAAGTTGCTCCGATGACCTAGAAACAGGCACCACTGCCGCGTCGTCCTTTCGTGGGTGATATATGTGCTGATATTACTTGCTCTACTATTAACTGTTTAACTAACGATCCAACCTTGCAAAAAAGTGTGCGTAAGACGCCTTTGTCATGCCTGGTGAATGAACTCGACAATGTCAAACGGTGATAGCATTGAAACCGATATATGATGCTTTTTTAAAGCATTTGGCCCGCTCGAATTACTGGCACATTGCGATTTCTGTCGTGGGAATACAGCACAGGATTAGTCCAACTCTGCACGAGTCTACAATTCACGGAATGTTCGCGGCTGCTGTGGCTAGCCTCGTGCGTTAACTGCGGCGTACATAATCCATCCCACATAACATGGCCACTACCATACGGCGTGCTGAAGCCCCCATACAGCAGGATGAAGTGCCATGTGAGCCTGCTGTCCTTTAAAACCGAAACCACCGATGGCAGAGGCGGCCAAACGGCAGTGACGCACGTGGTGCGTGTAAACGACGAGTACGCGAGCATGGCCCGTTATGGCATCACGGCGTTCGACTTTCGGCAATGGTGTTGCAGCGCACGCAACCATTGGCGCCTTTTTTTACTGATATCTTTTTGGTCGATCTAGGCAAGCATATGACAGCAGCGGCACGCCATCAGAAAGCTTGTCAAAATGTCCATGTCTGCCTGCCTAACCATTTATTGAAATACGTCCGAATGGCGGTGAGATGATGAGGCTGCAGCCTGCCTATGTTGCTACGGCCTCACAGGCCACGGTGACGTCACGCCAGGTGACGTCATTCGGCGGAGTGCGGCAGCACGGACGGCTCAGCTCGTCAGCGCCGGTGTCACCGGCCGAGCCGACTCGCCGCCCCAATGCGCCGCTCGCTGGCGACGCGCGTCACAGCTCGCGCGCGCGCGCGCGGCGATGTCAGTGGTCTGCAGCATTTAACAGCGGGCTGGTCAAGTCTCAGTCCCGGCAGGGGGCCAATCGGGTGTTGAGGCCGAGCCCTAGATTTGACGCTAATCGCGCTGAAGTCCAGCAAAAAGAGTGCAAACGCAGGGTGCAAATGCAGGGTTGCCCAACGGTCTTCGGGGGGAGGGTAGGAGGGAAGAGGGAGGGAGGGTGGGCGGGTCACGAGGTGCGCGTGATGACGTCCCGACCGGATGGAGACGGGATATATGCCATAACGTAGACGTAGGAAGAAAGATGTGGGCTGAAGGTTCCACGCCGATCTCACTGTTTAGGGCGGCACAATATTTCCGTTTGGTAAACACGAAAACAAGTGGCAAATAGTTGGTTTGGCCTCAGTTCTTGAGACGGGTCATATACCTGCAACGCAAGATGAGGCACATCACACTCAGCCGTTCGCCACGGAGCACACAGAGAGCGCACAGCGAGCACATAAAGAACACAATAGAACTCACAGGGAGCACACAAGAGCATGCAAGCAGCACACAGAGAGCACACAAAGAGTACGATAGAACACACAGAGAGCACACAAGAGCATGTAGAGGCCACACGGAGAGCGCACAGGGAGCGTACAGATATTGTACAGATAGTACACAGGGAGCACACAGATAGTATACAGATCACATACTAACAGTACTCAGACAGTATACGAAGCACGCAGACAGTACACAGGTAGTACGCAGGAAGTACAGAGCTGCCAGACAGCCTCCGAGCCCGGCGCCCGGCCGTCTGCAATAGCACGGCCCGTCGCACCCGAGACGTCCTTTCACTCGCAGCTCTGTCACCTGTCGGCCCCGCCAGCGTGACGTCACGCTTTCTCGGCAAACGTGCCGCGGCATACCTGGCGCGCCGCGCTGCACTGAAGCGGCGCTGGGAGATGGCACCCCGCGGGTTGCGCGGCGGCAAACTGGGTAACCTGCGCTTCGGGGGGGGGGGCGGAGGAACAAGTGGTAGTGAAGGGATCAAGTAAGTGGAGGGAGTGGAGGAGTAACAGGTGGAGAGGTCGATGTTTTGGGCGGGCGGAGAAACAAGCGGCTGAGAGGGGTCGACGGGCGGCTCAAGTTGGATCTCGACCAGGTAGAGAAGGCGAGAACGCCAAGCCCGGCTAGATATATAGAGAAAGAGGATGCTTTGGCGTTTCGGAGGCCTCCGTCTGTTCTTAAGTGCTGGCAGATGCGTGACCAGTCGCAGTGTAGCGCGCGCGGTTGTAAGGAGGGCGGATGGTTCACGGTGACCCGAATATCTTAATAATGCCCAGTGCCCGTACCGCTACGTTAAAGAAACATGAAAGCCGTCCAAACGTCGAAGTATACCGAGTTCACGGACATTGCCAGTTGTAAGCTTCAGCTGTACGTATGTTCTGCCTCCTCAGCACACCCTGCGGTGAGGAAATGTCACCTAGTTGCCAATACATGCTATCAAGGCCACCAAGTTACCTGTTCAGCGCACATAGTCGCTTTGTCATTTGCCGAGGTTTCTAAATTATTTGTCACATCTCCTCATCCCCCAAAAGTGCTTAGATTGGACACCTCCCACCGCCCGCATCACATTGAATACAGGTGAGCTGGCTAGCACGGTACTGGCACAACTGCTCCTCCACTGCCCCATTGCTCCACTGCTTCATCACATTTTGGCACCACTGCTCCTTCCCCACGTGCCATCGTAGGATAATTTCCCCACGTTATCTCCTGAACTGGGTTAAACTGGCTGAAACCGACTAGCTTGGGAATCGCGTTTGAGTTCGTGTTCGATATATTGACGAACCATTCCAGCAACTGGATTATCGTTGGGTTCGATGCCAACTTAGGGTAAAATAGCAAAATGGCGACATTAACGGGACCATATTCAGACACTTGTCAAACATGTGAGGCATTTTGCGAAAACATGTAATTAATTAGCGACAAACACGTCGTCCCGTTGCTGAATATGTTCCACGCAGGTTTAAGAGGACATGGTTGGCAAACACAAAGGAGTTTATGATGCGCGGAACACGCTGCGCCAAGTAGACGCCAAACTCGAAGCCACCCATGTAGACTATATATGGGGAAAAATGCAATAAAGAGCTGAAAAAGAACGATTGTTTACATATATTCATTGCGAAAGAGGCAAAGAAAAGGCCTGATCTATGAACGAGGTAGCTTCCGCCTACATCTGATGCGTACAGCGACTCACGCCCACCGTATAGGTCTGAGACTGAACCACTCATACTCGGCGTTAGCCAATGACACCGTCACCCTTCCTGCACCTCCCGTGGCAGCCGGTGACACCGTCGCTACTCCTGCACCTATGGGCGCCATATGACCAACGTAGTCGGTGCGCCCGAAAGCCCAAATCATCATTATCATCATCCTCCTGCACCTCCCGTGACAGACGGTGACGCCGTCACCCCTCCCGCACCTCCCGCGGCAGCCGGTGACACCGTCACCCCTCCTGCACCTCCCGCAGCGGCCATCACGCCGGCCGGCGCGCGGGAAAATCATGGCTGCCGCGGCGGCGACCGACGCGCCCAGTCACGCCGCGGCCCGCGCGCTGAACAGCCTACCGACACAGCGCGAGCGCCGGCCGTGAACAGCCTACTGACGCAGCGCGAGCGCCGGCCGTGCTCGTCATGCGGCCCGCTCTGCCAGCCCGGTCAGCTTGGTCATTGAGGGGCCATGGAGTCTGGAGCGAGGCCTACAGACCCTCGGGCTGGCGGCTGGCGGCTGGCCCAGGTCATTTTTTACCATGCCGTTCTTCTTTGGTTGTATTATGTATGTCGCATCTCATTTTTCACGGAACAAAGGCGTATAATCCAAGTAAAATTTCTCGAATGAAGTCATTTTTAATTTTTTTTTCAGGTTTAGAAAAAAATTGGTTAGGACGGCTGCTTGCCTCCAGTATAACCGACTTTAAATTGGTTTGGTAATAACGTGACCCCGGGCCGAGTTACGCCTGCGGCTAAGCGGGTGTACGCGATGGCTTAGCTGCCGAAGAAGCGCGACGGCGAACCGCACGACTGATGAGAGGAGCATGAGAGCATGAGAGGAGCATTCCAAAAGTACCACCGCTTTGGTTGCCGTACTCCACTCTGTGTCAGGTATTGCAACGTCATGACGTAGCTGCCCATCGATATCAAATGGACATGCGCTTAGATGGACCAGACAGAAATAAAAAACCTACATGCGTTACGATCGGCTGATAGTCACACATAAGCAGCATCAAAACCGGGGCGGAGAAAGCAAAAAATTGAGTTCCTTGGAAATGAGCATGGGTCGGAATACTAGGGTCGGAATACACGATAACGTTTCTTCATTCCATTGCTTCAAGCTTCAAACCCGACCGCAAGACTCATATCCGCATCACAGCAATGACGTGTCGCGTCGCGCCTTGACCTGGTAGGTCAGGGTCCTTGACCTGGCCGTGCTCCCTGGAGGTTAGGGTCGCTGCCCTGGCCGCGCGCCCCCGTATGTCAGCGTTGTTGACCTGGTCGTACGCCCCCGGAGGTCAGCGTTGTTGACCTGGTCGTGCGCCCCCGTATGTCAGCGTTGTTGACCTGGTCGTGCGCCCCCGGAGGTCAGCGCTATTGACCTGGTCGCACGCCCCCGGAGGTCAGCGTTGTTGACCTGGTCGTGCGCCCCCGGAGGTCAGCGTTGTTGACCTGGTCGTGCGCCCCCGGAGGTCAGCGTTGTTGACCTGGTCGTGCGCCCCCGGAGGTCAGGGTTGTTGACCTGGTCGTACGCCCCCGGAGGTCAGGGTTGTTGACCTGGCCGTGCGCCCTCGCAGGTCAGAGTTGTTGACCTGGTCGTGCGCCCCCGGAGGTCAGCGTTGTTGACCTGGTCGTGCGCCCCCGGAGGTCAGCGTTGTTGACCTGGTCGTGCGCCCCCGGAGGTCAGCGTTGTTGACCTGGCCGTGCGCCCTCGCAGGTCAGAGTTGTTGACCTGGTCGTACGCCCTCGCAGGTCAGGGTCGGGTTAACCAGCTGGGCGGCGTCTTCATCAACGGCCGGCCGCTTCCGAACCACATCCGGATGAAGATCGTGGAGATGGCGGCGGCGGGGGTGCGGCCGTGCGTCATCTCCCGCCAGCTGCGCGTCTCGCACGGATGCGTCTCCAAGATACTCAACAGATACCAGGTCAGAGCCGCGCCGACCGACTGACATACACAGTGGATAGCGAGTCAGAACTACTCTCGCTTTGCTGTACGTCACGGACGCCGGGTCATAACCCTGGCGAGCTAGCAGGCACTCGACGGGTGCCAGACACTCGGATAGGTCAGCCTGAGCTGGGTCGTCCTCGCCCTGGTCTGCCAGGTGCGTGACGGAGCTCAACTCCCATGGGTCATCTTCCAAGTCAGCACCGGTTCAGGCCTCTGGAAGCACAGAGAATGGCCGTTTACTGCCACCGCACGTTCGCGATTGCTCATCGCGTGTGCCCTGTTTGGCAGCGGGCGCATCATCTCGTGCAGTCCCATTCTGACCGGCCATCATCTCGTGCAGTCCCAGTCTGACCGGCCATCATCTCGTGCAGTCCCAGTCTGACCGGCCATCATCTCGTGCAGTCCCAGTCTGACCGGCCATCATCTCGTGTGGTCCCGTCCAACCGGTGCCAGCGGCCGTGTGGTTTCGTCTGACCGGCGCCGGTGGCCGTGTGGCCTCGTCTGACCGGCGCTGGCGGCCGTGTGGTCCCGTCTGACCGGCGCTGGCGGCCGTGTGGTCTCGTCTGACCGGCGCTGGCGGCCGTGTGGTCCCGTCTGACCGGCGCTGGCGGCCGTGTGGTCCCGTCTGACCGGCGCCCCGTCTGACAGGCGCTGGCGGCCGTGTGGTCCCGTCTGACCGGCGCTGGCGGCCGTGTGGTCCCGTCTGACCGGCGCCCCGTCTGACAGGCGCTGGCGGCCGTGTGGTCCCGTCTGACCGGTGCCAGCGGCCGTGTGGTCTCGTCTGACCGGCGCTGGCGGCCGTGTGGTCCCGTCTGACCGGCGCTGGCGGCCGTGTGGTCCCGTCTGACCGGCGCCGGTGGCCGTGTGGTCCCGTCTGACCGGCGCCGGTGGCCGTGTGGTCCCGTCTGACCGGCGCCGGTGGCCGTGTGGTCCCGTCTGACCGGCGCCGGTGGCCGTGTGGTCTCGTCTGACCGGCGCCGGTGGCCGTGTGGTCCCGTCTGACCGGCGCCGGTGGCCGTGTGGTCTCGTCTGACCGGCGCCGGTGGCCGTGTGGTCCCGTCTGACTGGCGCCGGTGGCCGTGTGGTCTCGTCTGACCGGCGCCGGTGGCCGTGTGGTCCCGTCTGACTGGCGCTGGCGGCCGTGTGGTCTCGTCTGACCGGTGCCGGTGGCCGTGTGGTCTCGTCTGACCGGCGCCGGTGGCCGTGTGGTCTCGTCTGACCGGCGCCGGTGGCCGTGTGGTCTCGTCTGACCGGCGCCGGTGGCCGTGTGGTCCCGTCTGACTGGCGCTGGCGGCCGTGTGGTCTCGTCTGACCGGCCCCAGCGGCCGTGTGGTCTCGTCTGACCGGCGCTGGTGGCCGTGTGGTCTCGTCTGACCGGCGCCGGTGGCCGTGTGGTCCCGTCTGACCGGCGCCGGTGGCCGTGTGGTCCCGTCTGACCGGCGCCGGTGGCCGTGTGGTCCCGTCTGACCGGCGTGACGTCGCGCGCAGGAGACGGGCAGCATAAGGCCGGGCGTGATCGGCGGCTCCAAGCCACGCGTCACCACTCCCGAGGTGGAGAACAAGATCGCCGACTACAAGAAGGAGAACCCGGGCGTCTTCAGCTGGGAGATCAGGGACAGGTGAGCGCGCCGGTGGTTGTGGCTTCTCGACGCACGTGCGTAGCAGTGCTGCGTCCAGCAGCGAGACGCCTGCCACTCAGATGGAGTCTGAGAGGCCAGAGACGCATTTGGCGTCACTTAAACTCACCACTCGTTGTTGAAGCTCTTCGTGGATGGGATCAATCGTGGATGAGGGTTAATGCATGGATTGAACCGTACACAACAAACAACAAATGTAAGTTAAAACGTTGATCACAAAACAGATACATCAAAGAACTGCTTTACTCCTTCCAAAAACAAGTATTCCCTCCCCTTTAGCACCATAACAACATGCCAGGTGATACCAGGAGGTTCATGCCTCCATTCTACCAGGAGGTACCTGAAGCATGGCGGAAATGCAAGACGACACGAATACATTTTAATCTAACATATTGTTTTGAGCGTTTACACCTGACTGATTACGCACCTCTTGGCACTGTTGAAGGTCGGCCGGCTCTAGCGCGGCCGCAGCCGGGCGAGTTTCAACGGCTGACCGGAGATTGGGCTCGGTCCGACCGGTCACGCTTCCGCCGCGCTTGTTATGTCTTTACAGCCATTGACCGAGCCGGCGCGCGGTTCTCAGCGGCAACCAGCAGAATTCTTGTAGCTGGTGCAGTGAGATTTTCCAGGCATGCATGCACGCTGTTTGATCAGGCGAGCTCTTTTTGCAACATTGCAGTATTACCAGTTTCCCTCCACCTCGCGACCGACGCTTGAGAACGGTAAAATATTTCCACATGACAAAAACTGAAATAAAAGGGTCTAAACTACGTTCAGATTTCGACCACCAGCTGTTGATGTTGGAGTAGCATGATGCCAACGCGTTTTGACTGGGGAAAGGGCAAATAATCCCATTGACTGAAGTGAGAATGACCTGTAATGACCTGGCCACCCGCTGTCGAGGCCAAACCATGGCATGGGTCTGCACGGTTTTGTGTGTCTTTTGTGGAACTGAAGGCAGATCTCGACAACAAAAGAAGTGAAATCTATGTCTTACCTGGCAATTTAACGATATCCGACTCATAAGTGCGTAAGTATCAGACCAGCAAGCGCCCAAAGTTAGATATATTATATATCTGATTAATATAAATATATACATGTACATACACAAAACAAGCTATGCAATATTTATTAATCCATGTAATAAAATTGTTGTTCCCGAAGCCGATGACAAACACAGTATTGTTCGGTCTAAATCGAGAAAGATAACTACGTGAAAATTGAATGTGGTTCAAATCTAGTTCGTTGCAGCCAATGTCTGTGCCGTGCATTTCCATGTCGCATTAATTTTGTCAAGTCACCGAAAATTCAAACCATTTCAATTTATACCGATCTAACTTGTCGGGCATTACCAACACCAAAAACTAGCTGTAATTTGTGCACGAATGCCATCAGTGCACTCAATCGGCTAAAGCCATAAAAGAGTTCGTTGAGTGACTCGTCTGTAAACCGAAAACGGTAATGGGCTTCATTTGCTGACGTTTTGGCATCCTCTACAAGGTGAGGATACCCGCGTTCGTCACGACTTCTCATTCGCTGACGCTCTGGTATCCTCTACGCGGTGATAATACTCACGCCCGTCTCCACCTCTCACGCCCCACGCCGCAATGGGTGTTCTTTCGTCTCATCAGTGCTGAGGCCTACGGCATGTACAAACTTAAGCCTTTCTTAATCATGGTGGTGAAATCTTATTTATCCTCAATAGACCTGGCCTGTTTGCAGTTTGCTCGTCGTGTTGGTCCAGATAGGCCGGTCCTGTCCGGTGCTGGGCTAGCGGTGGTTGGGTAAGAGCGACGCCTACGTCTCCAGCTGCGCTTTGTCGCTTCACTTCCCACGTGGTGGCGGCGAAAGTAAATAAATAAATATGTATACATATATATATATATACATATATATATATATATATATATATATATATATATATATTGCCGCATCTTTCCTTTTGGTTTTCGCTGTCATATACTGACCTACGTGTTTCCAACAGCGATATTTGAGCTTGACGTCATTGTGAAATCATCCAGCACAATACCCTATGTTAAAAGGAGTGTTCCAAGCTCGCATGGGGTTTGAACTGAAAAAGCCACATTGAAGAGCATTGGGTGCAACTAACAAAAAACCATCTCCGTCCTCAAGACCCAAACCCTGGGGCTTCTGAGCTACACACCCGTGAATATGTGCAGACTTTTTAGGGGAAACCATTTCAAAGTTGCCTAGGCATTCATGACGCCATTACAACGCCATTGACATGCTGTTATTCCATTGACCATGCGGCGATCAAGGCTAAAAAACATACTTGTCCATATGTTCAAATCTGGCGTTCGTGGGCGCAGTTTCCAGGCATAACAGCCGGCAATTGACTCTCAATCGATGTTGTGCAAGTTACGATGGCGAAATCCAACAACAACGTATTCAGAAGCATGCTTACTAGACAAAGAAACTGTGTTGCCTAGTACAGCATTTTCCGCCCGCAAATATACCAATATCTATAAGTCAGTTTGTTTCACCATATCCGATGCTTGCTTCACTATCTTCAAATGTGGGACATTTCCTTTAATGCGACGTCCCGGAGCTTGGTAACCATTTCAAATCTCATTGGACACGTGCCAGTCTGCTTGCGTTGTTGGGTATTTCCAGCGTGTTCGGACACTGACACAAAAAAACTAGCAAAAAAAGTTCGGACACTACGCATTGTGCAATTGCACACCATTATAAAGGCGTCCTCAGGTATTGAGGTGAGGTGCCACATGAGCTTTATCATCTTCTTTATCGTCGAGCTGCAGAAGGTTGTGGACGCAGCAACCAAACTGCAAACAATCAAGCACGACGAATTAATTTGCGGTTATTGTTGCGTCGTTCATGCTCGAGCTGTCAGCATCACTGAAATATTACGCAAAGGCAGTCCCTCCGCTGCCTTCAGCAGATGGGCTCCCAGCCGGCGCCCGAGCGTGTTCTGAGCTGCCTTTGTACAGCGCGCCGGCTCTGTCGCAGCTGACGGAGCGCGCCGGCGGAGGCCTCATCTGCAGCGTCTCATTCATGCCGTCGCACGGCCGTTCACCGGTCACGTGACAGCGCCTGCGGGCGGCGGCGAGTGGCACGTGACCGGGCCGTCTAGGACGTTCGCGCTTTGTGCGCTGAGGACTCCTCCGCCGCGGGGATGCTGCGCGGCGCCAGCTGACGGCCGCAGTTCGGATGATCGGTGCGGCGCGGCGGGATAAATGTTCACCGGAACAAATGGCCGTATGCACGGCAACAATGGCAAACAGCGAAGGGCGAGTAGCTGAATTCGTCGCGGAATGGCGAACCGCAAAACTATGACAGGATAAAAAAAGACGTCGTGCGAAATGACGAACGCTAAATGGTAGCCGGCAAATGGTGTCGTGCAATGCGACACCGAGTTGGATTATATCTTTCCAGTAGCCATATACATTCATTTGGAGGCTCAGTAAAGTATGCTCGTTTGCAAGAATGGCGACTGACGCAGAGTGCATAATCAGTTTGGAATTCTACGTGCTACATGCTTTTATTATTTAGTTGTTCGCTTGGTTGTTTTGATAAGAGCTCTTTCGAACAGAAATGATCGTTTCAGGACTGTGAGATGACGGAGCATGGATAGCGGTGGGGTAGAACTACACGCGCCTGGGGGGCCAACCGTCGAGCTTCAGTCCGCGGAGCGACCCCTCGGGGTGTGCGCTGGGCGCCCGGTTGGGGTCGCCCATCCTAGGGGGCCTCTCGACCCGCCCGTGGCTGACTCACACAGCCTGCCCCAGATTAGCGGGCGTCGCGAGGATTACACATAAGGCAAGAAAGGAGAATGTACTTTTTATACAAAACACGCTTAACTTTGCAAAGGTCACAGACGAAGAGCAATAGTGTAACGCCTTTGCGAGTGTGTGTGGCTATGCAGCGTTTTAGTTGGGAACGATTTTTCGTCCCGGCCATATTTTCAGAGCTTCTGTGAATTTAACTGCAACTTTCCTTCTCCGTTATTGCAGATTGGTAAAGGAAGGTCTGTGCGACAAGACGACTGCGCCCTCCGTGAGCGCCATCTCCCGGCTGCTGCGCGGCCGCGACGACGACGAACCCGTCAAGAAGAAAGAGGAGGAGGAGCTCTGTGAGTCCATCACGCCCGCACATTTCCACCAGAGCATTTCTCCTGTCGCACGGTATATGTTGGCGTTTTGACATGCCAATCACAATAAGCACAAATGTGAACCAATGCAAGCGTGTAAGTACGTTGATTGAAGCCATCATTCCTAAAAACTGCGATGAGCGCCTACAATACGTCGCTTTTTGTTGCTGCTGTGCCGCTGACGTGGCACAAATATGCCCTAATTTGTGCACCTATGTGATGGTGCGTGTTGGTTATGGCCGATATAGCCTCATAACTCAAAACTGAACTACAAGTTGACAGAGTGTGACAACATCGCTATGCCCATGCATGCAAAACAAGGTTTACCGGATATTTGACGACATGAATGTAGATGCTTCGTAACTGGGAAGAGTGAAATTTGGGGTGCAACGCCAAGCGCCCAAAATAAGATGTGAGTGAATAAAGTCTCAACCTGTCTCTAACTACATGCTTTCAGTCTGTTGTACCCCTTGGAGTTGACAAAGGAGGGACGTAAAGTTCTGTGTCCTGCTTTAACATAAAAATGCTGCTTTTAGCAGATGGCTCGTATCTATTCACTCACCATCGGTATAACTTTGATTTCACTAGTTCGTTATGCAGTGCACAACATTTCGTTACCTTTCCGAGATAACTCGAGATCCCGGAACTCCGCCTTTAAAATCCGGGATCCCGACACCGCGGATGAGTACCTAACGACCACCACCTCGTCCGCTTGCAGCCAAATCTGACGGCGTCTCTGACGAGGACGAGGAGACGGAGCCGGGGCTGGCGCTGAAGCGGAAACAGCGACGCTCGCGCACCACCTTCACTGCCTACCAGCTGGACGAGCTGGAGAAGGCGTTCGAGCGCACCCAGTACCCGGACATATACACCCGCGAGGAGCTGGCGCAACGCACCAAGCTCACTGAGGCGCGCATACAGGTGAGCGCGGTGGGGTGGCAGGGCGCAGAAGGGGGGGGGGGGAGGAGGAGGGCTGGCAGGTGACGGCGGACATACAGATGAGCGCGGCGGGTTGGCGCAGGCGCAGGAGACAGACGGGGACTGGCTGGTGAAGGCCGGGGCTCGGATGCGCCACCGACGTTTGCTGCGAGATGTTCGCTGGGACAATTCAACCTGGTGCTCGTGACTGGACAGGTCAGGTCATCTCAGGACAGCCATTTGCCACGGCGTGCCTGCCCCACGTCTACACAGTTCTTTTGTCTGTACCTACGTTTCTTTTCAGCTGCCTTAAAACCCGGTGCGATACCGGGTCGGAGGTGCGATATGATCAGCGCTCCGTATGGTGACGTTTGCTGCCTCTTTGCCATGTGTGGTTCAGTAACCGTCGCGCGCCGCTGAAAACCCTGCTGGTCGGAGGTGTGATTTGACCAGCGCTCTGTATGGTGACGTCTGGTGCCCCTTTGCCAGGTGTGGTTCAGTAACCGTCGCGCGCGGCTGCGCAAGATGATGACCAGCCCCGGCTCGGTGTCCAACTTCCCCGGCGTCGGCCTGCCCATGTCGTACTCCTCCGGCACCGGCGTCTGGGGCCTCTCCGAGCATCCCTTCTCCTCGCCCGCCACTCAGGGTGAGCATGAAGTATCTTCAGTTGGCGATGTTTTCATCCAGTGGTGTTCCAGCGTAGCCTTTATCGTTGCACCGGTAACGTATTTTGCAGTTTTATGTCATCACGACATAACATGCGATGTTTAGTCAAGCGGCCTCGAAGCACTTCGCAGAGTTATTTTCACTGGCATCAGTCGAGTTCCCGAATCAGTGATTTTACAGTTCGTGTTACCCAGTCGGCTCGGCTGGTGACTAAGAGCTGCCTGCAATTCTCCTAACTTCGAATGAGCACCTGAGGTTCTGATGCGAGGCCTTTGTTTGCTGACGATGTGTCCGTACGCCAGCTGTTACACGCAACGCATCACCATTACCATCATCTGTTCACTATAAATGGCCCCCTACCAAACGCTTCGTAGCGGTCCAGGCACGCAACCAGTGTTTTTCAGGAGGCATGCAAATTTTTCCTCTCCAAAATGTTGCAAAATCACTCGATATCTAGTGTAAGTCTCGTTGCTCACGGGGAGGGGGGGGGGGCGGCACGGCCCCCTGGCCCCCTCCTTGGCTACGTCCCTATAACAGTCACGCGTCTGGCGCCCGCTAACGCTACCGCCCCCCCCCCCCCCCCCCCCTGTATTGCAGACTCGGGCTCTCTCTACTCGGGCGTCTCATCGTCGGTGGCGCCGCGTATGTCGTCCACCGCGCAGGCCATGTCCAACCCGGCCGGCTACGCGCAGAGCCTGGGCTCGTACGCGCCGCACCCGTTCAGCCCGTCAGGCCAGCCGCTCTCGAGCCCGGGCCTGCCGGCACCGAGCGCCACGGCCGCCGCTTCCGCGCAGTACTCGCCGCCGGCCGCCAGCGCCGCCAGCTGGCCGCCGGCGCAGTGCCAGCCGGCCGCCGTCAACGCCGCCAACGCCGCCTTCAGCGCCGGCAGCCTGGTAGCGCCGCGCGCCGCGCAGACCTTCGCTGGGGTGTACGGCTGGTACTGACGCTGGCCCGGAGGGTGCCCGTAGCCAAGACTGTCACCGCCTGGCGGCCGCGGATGGTACTGCAGTTTGCAGGCTGCTACCGCCGGAGGCGACACAACGCGCTGGTATCAGCCCGACGGGAGGAAATGGCGACGATAAGGGTTTGCGGGTAACCCCAATCGCCACCTGGTGAGCGTGTCTGTTACTGTCGCTAGTGGGCCGCCACCGCTAGGGGCGCCAGGCCCCTACTTTTGCGTCCCGGAGAAGGCGTTCACGATTGGTACTTGCTTGGCTCAGCATGCGCCGAACACGCGCTGACAACGGCTCAACGTCCGAAGCTAGCATCAACCCCGACCCGACGCCTGGAGCTGATGGTGGCCTCAGGTCAGCGTCAGCAGACGTGCTGACCTCAGCGAAGCACTGACCGTCCGGCCGGCCTTAGTCCGTCGCCCATAGCCTCTGCCGTCCTGACCTGAGCCGGACCGGTCCGGCTGCCTGCCAGACCGGCGCATCCGCGGCCCGCTCCCGCGCGGCGGCTGCCAACTGCCGGTCGTCAGCCGGACCTGCTGACCGCGCTGGCGTGCAGCCGGTGGGTGACGGTCAGTCAGGTGTGCAGGCTGGCGGCGGCCGCCAGATTTGGCTGACAGCGGCCAATCAGCCGTCAGACTCGCACCCCAGCCGGGCGGCATGTTCAGCTCTTCTCCCTGCCCATGATGGAGAGGCTCGCCGGCACGAACCCGAGACCTTCTTGGAGGCTACGGCTCGGCGTACCCCGGGTCAGGAGGCGTGGGAGCACCCAGAGCGCGGCGGGAGGGGGAGGGAGGCCCCCTGATCTTTTGCAATGCGTTGACGAGATAGGACAATGTTTGCGCTCGACGTTGCTGGCAGTGACGTGATTATTCCTAATTTATTTGCCTGGGTGGGAGCCTGCATATGAGTCTCCCCCTCCCCGTTCCTCGCGGATGCGCTTCTTCGGTGTCCTGCGCGAACGTCATCCACGTCCGCATCCTGGCAGCGAGCTGTTAATAGTTAGCAACTGCTAACTACCGGCGAACAACTGTTTGCAGCTGTTCATGCCGCTAAGATGGACTTTGAACGCATTTCTTGCCAGGAGATCGTGTTTTTCAAGGCAGGTGAGCGTAAGCATAATGCGACACACTTGAGCCAGTGTTTCAAAGCCGGTCAGTGTGCATTGCCTATCTGGAAGAGGAGCGGTGTTATCTGCCGCGAAGGCTCTGCATGGCCGGCGTCCTGTCCAGCAGGGCTCCCCATTCGCCAGCCATGAGCGGCGCGTCTGTTGGATCTCGGGTCCGGAGGGCGTTTTGAGAGGTCTGAAGCAGCGGCGTGTGTGTCTCCGGGCCGATAGTATTGACATGTCATGTGGGGTTTTACCAAAGATGCGTGGAGATTTGGAGGATGCTCTGTTACGGCGGGTTGAACCGCGGATGGACGGCGCTCCGGTGTCTAATGAAACTATGTTGGAAATGACATTAGAAGTGCATGTTGCAATCCTGTAGATGCTCTAATAGGCTGATGGTGTGACAACCAATAGACTGTAGTGACACGGGGCCTCTTTTAGGCCGATAGATTATGTTTCGCTTGTGCTTATGTGAGTTTGAATCAGGAATCGTAGAAAATTGGCGCGAAACTTTTTTGATGTGCACTTATTTTGGTTAAATAAAGCTACAGTTGCTTGGTGTTAGATTGACCAGTGAAAAACACGATGACATTGACTTGGGGCAACGTGAAACAACAGCATAGATTTCCATGCTACCCCTTTACCAAAAGCGCAAGATAACGAAGGCTCTAGATCCACCATAACTTCTTTGACTCTGTTTTAGCTCCGGTTGATCATGTCAACGCTGTGTGTTAAGCCTCGCACTTGCAGAACTCATCCCCGGTATCAAAGGTACCACTCACGTGACAAAAATGCAACGCCGACGTAACACTGACGTTGTATTCCGAACAGATCACCTGTACAATAGCGGCCGCCGTTCCCTCCGGCCCACACGCACTCACTCGCGCCCGCATGGAGCCCGCACCAGAAGCGCTGTCGCCGACAACGCCGTGACGAGGAGGTGACGCGCAGTAACAACCGGAAACAGCGAACACCACGAGAATGACAGCGAACACTCATTGGTCCCACACCGCTGCTGCGGGTCGCTCTGCTGCGAACGCGCGCGCGTGCGAACACGATTCGAACACGAGTGTGGGCAGCTCCGCTGATGTGGCAAGAGGCTGTGACGCCTGCCCTCTTGACATCGGAGTGTGCAGCTCGCGAGGGCCAGGCCTGTACGAGTCCTGACTCCCAATGCTGACCGGCGCCACGCACGCTGCCAGGCGGCGTATCCACCAGATTCGTGGTCCTCTGTGCATGCTCATCGTATGCAGAGCCGGTGCACCCGAACACACCTCAGCGTCGCATTGTAACCTAGCGACATCTAACGCATAGCCAACAGGAAACATCAAACAGATAATAATAACAATCGCCGTCTGGTCTGCCCGTCCTTAGCATCACTTGCAGTGCCTTCTGTTGCAGTGAAAACAAACTAAAAGTACATCAGTTATCCAGTCAGATGGCCCTTGATAGATTCCATGGCGCGCGAGAGCGTCGACTGCTTCTGGCTCGCCTGTTCTTTCTGCTTCTGGCGCTCCTTTCGGAGCGCGTTGGTGTGCGGGTTTTCGGCCATCACGTCGATGACGTCCTCCTTGTCCGAGTCCACGCGCCGGTCAGGCAGTTTGCCGTGTTTTCCGATCAGCCAGAACGTCTCCATGGCGCCCTTGCTCTGCTGAAAAAAAATATCATCCGTCACACATCAAACGGGGTCGCTTCACCGGGTGGTCAGCGACTTCAAGCTGTTGTTCAGCGCTTGGTGAACTCACGCGGTGAGTTAGCGTGGTTGGCGAGCTTTCAGTGAGTTTAAACCCGAGGATTTCAAGTCGGGAAACTCTCTTAAAGAAAGCGCATGGCACGTCGTTGCGCGCATCCCTCTTATGAAGAGCCAAAGCCTGCGGTGGCTACGTTAGTCCTCATGGATCACGCTGTAGCCGGAATCGGAGCCCGGTCGCCCACGTGAGAGCAGGTGCCGACCACTCGGTCACCACACGGTCAACTCCCGGTCACCAATCCGTCACCACGCTCTCGCCGTGAAGCTCTCTTTCCATGCCCCAACGTCAGACTGTGGCCAGGCTCGCCCTTTAATGAGACAGCGGCTCTGAGATGTTCTTACGTAGATTTCTTAATTCAACGCATCTGAGACGGCGACATTGCATCTTCTTTCGTAAATCGGATTTTCTTACCGCGTCCTTGTTGAACTGGACCCTGATCTCCATTTCTCCACGCAGTTTCATGATAAAGCCACCGGCCCTGTCCAGCGCCTCCTTGGTGGCCGCCGTGATGTGGATCTTGAAGGCTGGAAAAGGAGAAGGTTTGTTGGCATCCATATCATAAGGCACAAGGCGGAGGGCGTTCCTAGCGATAAATCACTAAAAAAATGATGCAACCCATGTAATCACATAACCCACGAATTTACGTCATGACTTCCGACACGTTCGTCCGTCCGCCCGTCTGTCACGCATCTTCACGCAAGTACATTGGGGGTGTGCCAGCAGACCACAAGGTTATCGTGCAGCAACAGGAGCGCACCATTACATTCCTTCCGCGATGGAATCCGACCGGTGCGACCAGCTGCTGAACCAGTCCACCAACTTCAGACCAATAGCGGCGCCAGCAGTGGACCGGGGGGCGACCAATGGCATGTTTCGAAGACAGCCTCGAAAACACTCTGGCACAGAAGCTGAGCGCGCTGGGGCTGTGGAATTGACCGACAAAAAGCCCTTTTCACTGTAAGCAGTATGCACCCAAAGTATGTGCGCATTTCACAGCAATGGGCTGCAATCGCCCCAAACATACGACACCGCAAATTTCACGCTATTGTCGTATACTGTCGAGTTCATTTGCCGGCCTGTCGCAGGCTAAGACAGTGAAGCCTGAAAGTTTATCCTGACGGTCCTCGGCTCGTCTTGCTGTCCGATCCGCGCGTTTTGTGCACCCCTACCGTCGGTGCGACAAGCCGCAGCTCTTTATCCTAGGACCCTTCCATTCCCGACGCGTAGCGTCAGCCCACCTGCAAGTAGCGAGGCACCACTCGTCCTCCACGCCAAGCCTGCTGCTTCGTTCCCCTCCCCCCCCCCCCCGCTCTCCCTCGCCCCAGCACGGAGGCAGCCGCAGGCCGACGGCGACAGCGCGGGTCACGGTCTTCTCTGACACCGCGTCCCAGCCGGGTGGCCGAGGCGTCACTCACGCAGGCCGGTCGCCTCCATCTTGCTGGTGATGTTGACTGTTTCTCCGAAGAGGGTGTAGCGCGGCATCTTGGTGCCGACCACGCCGGCCACCACCGGCCCCGTGTGGATGCCGATGCGGATCTGAAGCCGCTCGCCGGGCATGTGCGGCACCACGAAGTTCTCGGTGGCGTGCAGCAGGTCCAGCGCCATCGAGGCCACCTCGGCCGCGTGGTCCTTGCCTGTTGGACGGCCGTGTGGTGGTGACGCTACGGTGATGGGAAAGGAGAGCGGCGGTGGGGATGAGTGGCGTGAGACCGCTCTGGTGATGGCCGGCGAGGAAATTGGTGGCGAGGACGGATCAAGTGCGGAGCTGTCAGATTTCAGCACGTGAGGGGAGCGTTGCTTTGAATCGCTTTGATGGCTCAAGAAAACAAAATTAGTCGCACTGTTTGTTAACAGAATGTAACGAGCAGGGTTTGCAAATTATACGCGTATACAGCACAGAGGGAGCTTTAGCTAAACATCGACGAATGCAGACATTTTGTTACAAGCTTATTACAAAGACACTGAAGACAAAGGGGTCCCTTACTACATCACACATCAGCAGTCGCAAAACAACATAGGCCATAGGCCATAACAGCACAACCAGTGTAATGCACATGCAAATATAAAATAGAGCAAAAGCAAACCAGATCATAACCACTATCGGTGCATGAGACGACGATACAGAGAGAGGGCGGGAGCCTTAGAGAAGGGGGAGGGCGGCTAAAAGAGCCCTAGAGAAGGGGCGGGGCAGCTGACAGAGCCCTAGAGAAGGAACAGGGACGCTGAGAGAACCCTAGAGTAGGAACAAGGCGGCTCCCTAGAGAAGGGACAAGGTGACAGAGAGCCATAAAGAAGGAACGGGGCGTCTGAGAGAGCCCTAGAGAAGGGACAGGGCGGCAGAGA